CGAATGCTTCAGTACCGTTTACCAGACGGTAGGAGGGAAAACAGTTTGTGACTGGGATGACTGGGGTCCTTGAGAATGGACCTGGCCTTCTCTGGATGCTTGCGTGTATGGATTGTGAAGATGTGCATGTGTACATTTAAAAACGGCGGCTCAGAGTGGAAATCTAGCGCTATTTGTAATTTCGGATATTTAGAAGTTTAAAAAAACAGAACAGATGTCTGAGAATTGGAGTAGAAGAAAACATTAACTTCATGAAGCCAGATTTAAACACCTGGTGGATGTATGTGGTACTGCGCTGTGGCTGCCGGACAAACCATAGATGTCCCTGATTTCCCTTTGTTGGCAGGAAGGGTGAACCATACACACCTATATTTCTGTATGTACTTGCAACAGAGGAGCTGGATCTGAGACAATCAGTATGGTTTGGGCCACTAGAGGGCGACGTAAGGGCACTCCAGTGACAAGAAGAAAGCCAAATAAGGTTCTGCACTGTGTACAAGGAATCTAGCTGACAGCAGTCTGATTCCTTTTGTAAAAACGTTCAAAGTTAGCAATGTCCATCCTGGTATTGGGATAGACTGGTAAAGTTGCGTGGTGTCATTTCAGCAATGGTAGGAGGTCCAGTCGCACAGTGTGATTCTAATAAAAGGGCTCCATGGCTTCATCGTGGGTTTGAGAAGCTTTCCTGGCCAAACAGGATCAGCAGGGCGGCTTCGATTCCAGTTGACAGGAAATTGAAGGTTTCAAGGAAACTCAGACCCAGTTCTGCACCTGCCCATATCAGACGGGGTTCATGTAGGTTCTCCACATCACGCTACCAGGTTACACACCCCTCTACACCTGCTCCACACCCCTCATCTGTACACACCGCTACAGTACCTGTTCATTCGGTACAGTACCAGTCCTTAATCCAGTTACAGGTGTTACCAGATTACAATCAGTCTTTTAAAAGGACTTTTAACTAAGCCTGTCTTTAAAGAAGAGCCCGGTCTGCTACAAGACTGGAGGTGGCCCCGGATAAGGCTGTCTGGTTGTGCTTTGGACTACGCGGTTATTTTCTTGCTGCAATAGGCGTTTCCCTCCTGGAAGACCAGCTCTCGCTCTCCTCCGCCCGCCTTCTGTTCTCCAAGGGTTTTGTGACTTTTTCAAGGGCTTGCTGCCGTTTTTCAGGGTGTTGCCCAGGTCTCGCTCACTTTCATGGAGTTGATGTAGACTGCTTTAAACAGATCGGCGTTTCTATTGCTTTTGTTGCCAGGATTGTGTAGGGGTGAAACGGCTGTAAAACCGTGTACGAGCCCAGTCCCGGGGCGGGGGGGGGGGCGGGCCCGGCCCAACACTGTCTGGACCTCAGGGATCAAGCGAGCCCCGCTGTGTCTGTTGCACTCCCTGAAACCTGAACCTCTTTGTGTTTGTGTTTCAGAGATAAGCACGCTGAAAGACATATTTGGCATCGCCAGCAATGGTATGTATTGTGTTTGCTCTAATCTCTATCTTACAGTTTTATGTTCTCTTAATGTTGCATGGTTCCATTTTTCGATACTATTTATCTCAGTTTGCAGTGATGAGAAAATATTTGCAGAACAGCAAACTGTGTAGGGTTGGGGGAGGAGGGGAGGCTGGTTTCTACTTCTCTGCGGCGTGAAATCAGGAGTTTGGGAGACACTTAAGCTCTGCAGACTACAAATTCCTCTGTTTCTCAAAGACTAGAAGTGACCGTCACTGTTGAAAGGCTCAAAGCAGTCTGTCTTTTAAAAATAATTGATGGCTTAGTTAGAAAACAAGAAATGGTAACCTTTTAGATGCAGCAGTCTACGGCAGTGTGTTTCAGTGTCGAATCCTAGCCATATATCAGTTTAAATAAATAAGGACGACTCTGATTGAGATCGAGATTTCACAGAGAAAGATTTTAATTCTAATCATATGTATTTGAAAGGATTCCGAGCAGGATGGCACAACGGCACAACGGTTAGATTTGGGAACCTGGGTTCAGTTCCAGACCTGGGATGCCATCTGCATGGAGTTTGTGTGTTCTCCCTGTGTTTGCGTGGATTTTAGTGCGGTGCTCCAGTTTCCTCCAAATGACACACTGAAAGGCTAATTATCTTTGGGGATAAGGGGCCCAGGGTGTATCCCAGCTTCCACCTGTGGCTTGCTGGGACAGGCTCCAGCTCCATGTGGCATTGAATTGCATGAAGAAGTTGAAATTTGGATGGATGGATACCAAGCAGTTACTTTTAAGAGCGTGAGTGAACTGTGAGTAAACTGGGAGACTGGTACTGTACCTACCGTACCAAGCTGGACAGGTTTGGAAGGTGGGCTGTTATTGGAAGAGGCCGTTCTTCACCAGAGAAGTGATGATTCACTGTCGCAGACGTGTCTAGGCTTCTCTGCTAAAGACTTTGTTGTCTGACAAGGTAGGACAGAGCAGAACAAAAGGTCAATAAGGCAGCCATCTTTCTTTCGGCAAGAGGCCCATTATGCCAAGTGTTAATTGTACAGTTTCTAGAATGAAACGTTAAATGTTTGTGCTCGGTAGCACTTTGTGTTATGGGATACATATTGACAGGAGGAAAACATAGTGTGCCGGTATGTTTATGTATGAAACCCATTTTAGATCAGATCACTATATTAGCCATATACAATTTCTTGTATTAGGAATTCGTCTTTTCGCATAACCCAGCTTGCTCTCCATGAGACACACAGACACACAGAGGTGGGGGAGAGAAGCCTGGGGTCAGAGTGCAGTACAGTACATTGTCACTAGAATGACACCTGTCAGGTTTGTAGTTGTTTTGCCCAACAGTCCTAGAACAGCTTCTGTTTGCTTTGCCATATGAATGATAGCAACAGCTCGTGAGATGCAGACCAGAACAGATTGGGTTGTGCATGAGATCTACTAGATTTTAGTCGGTGTACTGGACCCCAAGATGGAGCCTGTTTGAGTTGGGAGAAGAAAATGGTGTTCAGGCAGCCATCTTGATTTATGCCAGTGCACCAGATAGTTTAACTGTATGCAGACATCAAGGACACTTGCTACATGTGGAGTTTTTAAAACAGCATGGGCTTGTTTTTTGGGCCCTGCATCAGCAGTGGGAAAAAAAAAAGAAATGATGATCTGACCGTCAACCAGAACCTTCATTTTTCATACAGCAATCGTGTTGGTATTAGAAATCCTACCACTACAGTTTGGCGTTAATTGGTCAGACAGGTCTGAGCAGGAGAAGTTGGCGTCATGAGCTGGGTTGCATACGGTGGTTTATGATGTCCCGAGGCTGTGAAATTGAACCAGCCTTTCAGGTGCAGACTTGAAAAACCATTGGTCATTGAGGAGCTCTGGCATGTGTGAATTCAATCCATGCAGCTGGTCCTAAGAAGAAGATTTTCAAAGGTTGATGCAGGACCCCAGTTTCTGTCACAAATTTAATGGCTTCTCTGTCCCAGTGTGCCTCCTCTTTTCAAAAGAGGGAAGAATAATAAATCCGTTCAAGTACTAGATACTCAGAAGTCCTATTACTCCAGAAGGCCTAAAGCTCAGGTTTTGTGCTCTTAAAAATGCACTTGCCTCCTCCGAAATGGGTTTGAAGTGGAGGTCAGAATGATGCGAGGAGCAGTCTGTCTCAAATTATTTTCTCGGTAGCAGGTGGGATCAATAAGACTTCGACTAGCTCGCCCTGCTTCCTGGCATAGAGAACATCTCGTTGTGCTCCAGAGGCCTTCATCTGAAGAGCTGCTCAATAGGATGTGAAAGGCAGGTCCGGGAGCTGGAGACTAATTGATAGGAAGCTGCTGAATGAAAAAAACAAGAACTGTTTTTGTCCTAGAGCACGACGTGTCCATGGCGAAGTACAGCCGGCTGCCCAAGAGAAAAGAGAATGAGAAGGTGAGAGTCGCTGTTTAGCTCTTGCAGTCTCTACGGGCAGGGCATTTACAAGACTCCAGTGCCCTGTCACCCCCCCAGCATGAGGGAAGCATGCACTGTTCCAAGAATTACCTTCCACTGTTTTTGTCCTGTTATATTTTCTCTGTTTGTGGAATTTTGCACAGTTTTGATTACTTGATTACATGTTATTACATGTTACTGTTATTGCTATTGTGTTACTGTCTATTGTCTCATCTCCTGTCCTATTTATATACTGCACCTGAGTGACTAATGAGAAACACTTTTCATTATACTATGCACCTGTGTAAGTTTAATGACAATAAAGTTGAATTGAATTGAATTGAGGACGATGAGGCTCAGAGGTTTTAAAAAGGTTCAGTCCTTGAGATTACTTTAGACAGCCGTGGGAGGGCAGGGGGGCAGTCTGTTCAAGGTTTCAGTTGCCCAGTGTGGACACAGCTGGGGTATCCTTTTTTAGTATTCCAGTCTGTAATTGAAAGAGGCTGCCCTAGTGGGGCTGTGCCCAGATGTGTCTCAGCCGCCTCCATAAGACGTGTTCATAGCTTCCGCGCCCCTACCGCACGTAGCAGCGGAAAGCGGAAAACGTGAAGTTGCCTTTCTTGTCTTGTGTGCGGCGCGGTGCTTGCAGCTGAAGGCGGACGTGGTGGCGGAGGTGGCCTACACCAGGAGGAAGCAGCACCAGGCCTCCATGCAGTACTACTGCGCGCTCAACGCCCTGCAGTACAGGAAGAGAGTGGCCATGCTGGAGCCCATGCTGGGATACATGCAGGCACAGGTCAGCCATGGCCGCTCCACGCTCCGCAGCTGGGAATGAGAAGCCCCTCGCATTGCAGGGTCGAGGTTTCATGACCTGGCACGGTTCTGATCAGGCCTGCCTGGTTTTCACATTCACGTTCCCTCTTGCTGACAGAAGCGTTGTTCTCAGTCATGCGGGTGTTTGCAGGTGACCTCCTACTGTATCTCTTCAGCACCCCTTACCTGTTCAGGTGAGTCCGCTGATTCAGTCTGAGGACGACATACAGTAGGCGCTTCATCACATCACCTATTCGCAGGCAAGATTTATTCATAGCCTTCATGTTGTTAGCTGTGCATGCCTCTGTGTTATTAGTGAAGGTGGCTCAGTTCCCCTAGTGCACCTTTACTAATGTCCTCATTGGGTCAACTGCTCACGACTCTGACACACATGGAGTTTTATTTACAGATCATGCAGCCTCTGCCTCTGGGAAGGCTAGAGTTATCCAGGCAAGCAGAGTCGCTGGCTGGTGCTTGATGCTTGTTTCTGTGTCCCACCAGGTGTGCTTCTTCAGGAAAGGCATGGACCTGGTTTCCAAGAAAATGGACAGTTTCCTCACGTCTGTCTCGAACATGACTCAAAGGTAAAGCCCCACAGCCCCAGTCTCGACTCCACAAAATGCAATCCTTAAATCCAGTGCACAGCAGTTCCCTCTTTTTTTCTTTACTCGTTTGCTTATTTAGTTGTGCAAATTTAAGCAATAACATTGTATGTTTTCCTATATTCCTAGCCTTTGTAGTCTTCTAATATTGAAATAATTCAAGTGCTCCAGCGGCGTGATATAGTGAGTCGCTTTACGATAGCAGCTTATAGATTTAAACAGCAGCCTTTGGCTACCAACATGAATGCAGCGACTTGCTGGCCAGAGAGCTTAGAAAACAGTGCTCAGCTCTCCAAGGAGAGTGAACTCCGGGCCGGTCTGCTTCCAGTGTAAGAGGGGGCGCAGCTGATGTAGGATTTTCCTCCCTGCGTCTCTGGCAGTATCCAGGCCCAGCTGGACTCGGAGTCCGACCTGATGCGGCTGTCTCAAAGGGACCTGCTCTCTGTGGAGGACACGGTCTACATGCCCGACCAGGACTCCGCCAACCCCCCGGTCAACCGCACGCTGATCCAGAAGGCCGGCTACCTCAACATCCGGAAGTAAGGCCGCCCGGACCGCTCGGGTTGGCTTCGGGCGCGTTGGGGGTTTTGTGTGGCGGTGAAGTGCTGTACGACGTCAAGGCACGACAAGGCAGGGGCAGTGAATTCGCTGACAGTGAAGCGCCCTGCTGCCTCACTGTTTTCCAGCTGGGGTGCACATCTTGTACAGTATATACACGACTGGGTAGGCCTCTTGCGTGATGACTTGGTGAACATGATCCAAAAAGCTCTTCTTTATATCGAGCAGACGGTCATTCTGCAAAGTCTTCAAAGAACAAAAGGAGTCTGATGGCTTAAAATAAATTTGGACACGTGGTTACGAAGGAGAGGAAGCCACATGGCCTGTGTAGCTTCTTCTGGCGCTAGTAGCTAAGTGATCCAAGAATCTCATCCGGGCCATTTCTTGAAAGATCTTCAACAATGTGGCTAGGTAGCCTGTTCCACACTCCCACAACCCTTTGCGTAAATATCTGCCTTTGACTGTCAGAGTTCTATGCACTTCAGCATGGTTTCCACTTGTACCCTCTGTTTCGCGTCCCACTGTTGGTCACATAGGAGTCTGCTGAGTTGTCAGCAACAGAACTTTCCTTTTAAGCCCCTCAAGAGCATTACTTGTGCATTGTAACACAAGATAGTGATCCTGGTAATAGATTTTTGAATACACTAGACTAATATTTCTGTCTGTTGAGTATCCCCACTCAGGGAGAACAGGAGGAAAGCCGAAATCTGCAAATGACTAGAGAGGATTTAGAAGGAGATGAGTCTGTCGTTGAGAGAAGGGGGAGGGTGTGATCTGAGTTTCAGGATCAGTTTAGTTTTGGATGTCGTTCTGCTGTAGGAGTTCCGAAACCCCGCTCCAAGTTATACTCTAAGCTTGGAGCAGGTGAAAACGACAGCCCCCCCCCGGGTAAGAGGTAACCATGGCAATCCCATCTGAGGTCCTCATTCTATCATTGCTGTTTACACAAGATAGGGAACCTGTGCTCTGTTGCTCAGTTGAGACTCCAGACTAAGGCTTTGACATGAATTAATCTACAGACGATCCTGTGTTGTAGTGCATAGGCCCCTCTTAAATCATTCTTTCAGCTGCGTAAAGTATAGTCCTGTGACCGACAGCATCGTCTGTAATGAATCACTCTCCGGACGCCGCAGTGAAGAACCCAAGGCCTGTGCTTTGCCTCCTCTAGTAAGACGGGCCTAGTGACCACAGCCTGGGACCGGCTGTACTTCTTCACCCAGGGAGGGAACCTGATGTGCCAGCCGCGAGGCGCCGTGGCGGGGGGCCTGGTCCTGGATCTCGACAACAGCTCCGTGATGGCGGTGGAGTGCGAGGACAGGAGATACTGCTTCCAGATCACCTCCCCCACGGGTAAAACGTACGGTAAACCGCCGCCGAACCCGGCAGTCTTCACCCGGAGCGACGTACCGGAAGCGGGCGGGTGGGGCATTTCCGAGTCCGATGCTGACGGCATCGTGGGAGCCCACTGCTACTGCAGCCACTTCCTGAGCAGAAAGTGGTATAATCGGAGCTGTTCAGCATCCAGAACGTATAAATAAATGTGAAAAGAATTTAACAAATGTGGGGCAGAGGGTATTGTAACCCAGCTTTTTAAATATCCTCAGTGCAGGTTCAACGTCGAAATTCATTACTTCTTTTGTCTCCTTTTTCTTGAATGAACTTTAAATCAGTTTTTTAATAATTAATTACACTTTTAAATGCCCTCAGCTGAGGCTGCAGGTCGACCTGCCTGTTTCTTCCATCCAGGTAGTCCTCTCCTCTTTCCTCACCCATTCATGCCTCCTGCGTTCCTGCCTTTAATTATTCATCCACACAGACAGACCAAGCCGGCCTCCTCTGTCGTAGGTTTTCATCATGAACGTTTATCCTGCATTCCAGGCACAGGCGAACAGCACCTTTCTTACAATCTGAGCTCTTACAAATTAGCAGCCTGGTTTATCTGTTCATAAAAAAAAAAGACTCGGATGAAGTTAGATTTCTTCCAGTTTACAGCAAAAAAGAGTGAGAGAAACAGGTCCTGAAAGGTCAGGCGCAGAGACCAGAAAGAACTGCACTCACTCCTCACTCGTTAATCTTTTAATCTCATCTGTAATCTTTGTTAAAAAGGTACTGTGCCTATTTCTCATACTTTGTGAAGGCTTTAAATTTGTGTCTTTTAAGTGTTAAGTGTTTTTTTTACCCTAGGTTCTTTGCCAATGAAAAACATTTTCATTCATTCTCTCTTTGTTCAAGGTCTATCATCCTTCAAGCGGAAAGCAAAAAAGAATATGAAGAGGTATCTCTTTTTATGTTTTGATATTGCAAATTATTTCTATTTAAAAACGTGTGCGTCACTAAAGCGATGCTCTTCTTATTTTTAACAATTATTCACTTCATCAGGGCTCCACTGAAAACGAGTAGAGACGCCCGGGAGGTTTTTAACATGTATTCACACATGTTCGCCAGAGCTGTCCTCAAGTTAAAAACACCACCAGTACTATCGGTCAGCCCATTCTCTCCTTCCCATTTCATCTTGCAGCTGCCCCTTGGTCCCTCCTCACTCTGCAGGGGGGTGGCCCAATTTACCATGACTAAAGCACTCTAGAAATATTTTCCAGTACACTAAGTCCTTGAGGGATGTTGTGGCTCATGAAATGCGTACAGAGCTCTTGTTTGGAATGTGGATCGGCATGAAGCTTTCTACATGAATAAAGTGTCTGGCATCATTGTAGTCCGAGCTGACATCAGATTGGAGAGCTTTGCCCTCACTGTACGCAAGTTTTGTGTCTGGAGAATGCAGAAGACAGCCACTGATTTTTATTACCGATAAAGCAGAAAAAAATAACAGAAAGCAAAATGAGGCATCCTTGCTGTGGGTTGTGTACTCTGGATTGCTATCAAAGGCATAATTGACCTCTGTAGTAACAGACAAATAAGTTCTGGAACCCGAGATGAAGTTTAAACAGCTGAGTTTAGTGCATGCAAGGAACAATAACACCAAAGTATTGTTCGAAATATAGGTACAAAACTTCCAGTTTAAATTTCAGCTGCTTCCGACGCAAATTGTTACCATGGTAATGGGGGGCCACCTGTGTTCGGACATTCCAAAGACCTTGAACGCTTCTGATGGTCGGTTTTATCTTTCCTTAGTTAGGGGGTCTTTATCTTGCACTTGGAATTTCACATCAATTAACTCCCATCCCTGCCATAACTCGAAAGTGCCTAAGCATGGGATGTCTTGTGCCACAAGAAGTCTTTGTGCAGAAAGAAATCAGTTAACCCCCTTTTCACATCTTACACCTTTCTTCACCTCGAAGACCTAGTAATTCATAAACTGAAAACGTGATGTTCTGTTAAGGTATCGGCCAATGCCTTGAAGATTGAAATGCAGTCGGATATTGAATGATACTCTGGACTTGCACTGATTTCTGGGAATTGGCTTGTTATAAAAAGCACTAACGTTTTCGAGTTTTTGTTGTGCTGGGTGCTGGTTTCTTCGTGAACGCTGACGTATCGACCGTGTTTTTTTTTCCCCTCTGCAGTGGATATGCGCTCTCAACAACATCTCCAGACAGATCTACTTGACTGATAATCCGGAGGCAAGTGTGCCGCTGTGTGGAAACCAGGGAGCCTGACAGGGCTCACAAGTAGGGAACACGGCACTTCGGCCAATGAGGCACTCAGCCACACAACTTCGGACATCTGCAGAACAAGCCGTCGCAGCGATCGGCTCAGCCCCGTGTATCCTGACATCTTTGCTTTGTCCCTGTGTGTTGCCAGCTCGGTCTGTGTTCATCCAATAGACACGACTGAGCCCGTGTTCTATAACAGCTGAACTTTAGGGAGCTACAGTGCTGCTTTCTTCATGTAATTGAACACTTTTTTTATGGCGAGGGATTAATTAGCTAGAAATTTTAAAGCTCCAGAAAGAGGGATCAGAAATAGATGACCTGCCCTAGCTGTAAAAAAGTAGTATTGCCGTATTTGTCATGCGAAACATTTAATGAATGCAGGGAGCATGAAATAACTCTGACAGTATTCTTATTGAGGTCAAATCCCCCGCGAGCTGAGATAATGAGCCCACAAGGAGTCATCTGGTGGCCCCTGGGGATCAGGCTGTTACAGAAGAAGGAAAACTTTTAAAATCAAATCTTTTTTTTTTTAAAACAGCTCCAATTTAATAAGGTTAAAATGTGCAGTGACCCTTATTATCATGAAACCCCGGACTGGATGATGGATTGGGACTCCACCCTCCCTCCTCTTCCTCACTGCTGTTCCCCTCCTTCAGGCTTGTGGGGAAAATCAAGGGAAAAGCACGTCAGCTGTGACACTTGAGACACCCAGCTCCTCTGGAGTACTTGATCATATGGGTTCCATAGTTGGAGAACTCTAATCCAAAACCCAAAACCAGCTCACAATCGGTGCCCTCTGGGGCATGCAGGGGGATGTCCACAAACACTCCCTTTGCACAGCGATCTGAGCCGCTCCAGGTTGTGTGAGCTGCAGTTTGCTTGGCTGTGCACTTACAGCGGGGGCCGAGCGTCGTTTCCGTTGAACACGTGTCCTCAAGCAGACAGGAATTAATGATGACTGGTTTTCACACAGCTTGTGAAATCTTGAAAGGCTGAACTCGCTGTGCAAAGGGAGACGAATAAAGGATAAATGTAGATTGTGCCATTCTGAAATAATTGTGAGCGTGACTGGAGAAGGTGAGCTACTGGAGAATGAGAATAGCATGGTCTGAGCGCCGATGAAGCAGGAACTGTGGAGCTCTGCTGCCCTCTAGTGGACTTCTCTGTTCAGTCTGTAGAACAGCGATTTTCTCTACCCTGCTGTTGGCGAGCAGGTTTAGATTAGTGTACACAAAGAAAACAAGAACACATTTTTACTTAAATAAAAAGGGAGTTCATGTTTGTGTTCTTTCCTCAGAGTTATCTGTTTTAAAAAACAGAACATTACAGAGTTGTACAATGAAGTACATCATGTGATGCCCTACAGCATTAAGGAACAAAAGATAATAGACAGCAAAACAATGAAATACTGAACAACCAAATATCTGAAATTTAAGTATCCCAGATGTTTGCAACCTGGAGCTTATCCGGGACCCACAGGGCACAAGGCAGGTCACACTCTGGGTGAGACAACATTCTTTTGCAAGGCCTACGGAGACAATTTACAGACACGCAGGTAATCTAGGCAGCATGTCATTGAGAGAAGGAAGGACACCAGTGTACCAAGAGAAAACCACACTGGAAGAACATGCAGACTCCACACAGAACATTCTCCCGGCAGGAATTGAAGAGCTGTGAGGCAGCAGATGCCATGACACTGTGGTGCCCAAAATGAAAAAAATATTCACCAGAATATCAGCGCAGAGCAGTCATGAGAGTGGATTTAAAAACTGACTTTTTTTTTCTGCTTGCAAGTCTGTTTCCATACGTTCAAAGCCACTGACTCAGTAATGTCTGCTTTCTCTCCCTCTCCTCGGGGTCTCCAGGCGGTGGCTATCAGACTGAACCAGACAGCCATACAGGCGGTCACCCCCGTCACCAGCTTCGAGAAGAGACACGAGAGCCTCCAGCCCGAGAGGTGAGGGCCCCCAGCCCCTGTGTGACGAGCGCAGCTCTCCGAGCCCCTGCCGGGCTTCAGTCTCGATCTTCACAGGCTCCGAGTGCATACAGCGCCCCTCCCCAGACAGCAGATAACTCCACCACAGGTGACCCGTAGCCAGGCTGTGCTCTGCCCCTACCGGGACTCAATCCCAGTCCTTCGCGGGCTCCGAGTGCGTACAGCGCCCCTCCATAGCCAGCAGGTAACTCCCCCATGGGGGAATCTGACACAACACCAGTGATCTATAGTAAGGCTGTGCTCTGCCCCTGCCAGGGTTCGAGTCTGGCTGTTCTCAGGCCCAGAGCCACAGAGCTCCACTCTGTAGCCAGGGGAGAAATCCGCTGCGAGACAAGAGCAGCTCCTGTGTCACAGCAGAGCTCCGCACTGTCTGGACTGCAGAGGGCTGGGTGTCACCGTGCAGAGCTCTGGTACGCTCTCTCCCTCTAGATTCCTCCTGCTGCTTCAAAGTGACTTCAGTGAC